TTCATCCTATAGCTTCTTTATTTTCTTTAGTTCTGTCAACCAATGAAGGTGACGGATGGTGTGCTCAATCATGGTGGTAGATGGCTGAAGGGGTGGGCAGGATGGTTTGGGGCATGTACTGTGTGACATTTGGGGGGTGTGGGGCGGGGGGTATCTATTAAAAGAGAAGTGTTGGTGTTGGTGTCCACAATGCCTGTTGGAACCCAATAGGGACACTCAACCAGGATGCCAGAGCCAACTAAAAAGACAGGTATGCCAGTGTTTTTGTTCTTATTTCTATTTGACAATTGTGTATATAACAGATTTTTGTCAGTCAGGAGAGACTTTTAATCGGTGTTGTTTTGAGTTGTTGGTTGAGGGAATGTTACCTTTCCGTTCTGAACTTTGACCCTATGTGTATTGGGTTTTCTGTGATTATGTATTTTCTATGATTTGAACTCCTGCACCTCTGATTCTTGTTCTGTTACCATTTGAACAATTAATCTGTAGTAATTTGAACAACATATATTGAAAAAAATGGGCAGTGTCAGTTGATTTGAATGAGCAGTTCCATAATATATTGTCACAATGTTCTTATAAAAAGTTCTGCATGCTACAGCTGCTGTTTTTTTTTAAGCCTACTGTATGGAAAGCATTCAAAGCATGTGACTATTATGTGCACTTTTCTTGAATTTCTTATTGGCAAAATATATATATAAAAAAAAGATAAACTACTTTCTTTTAAACCAAAATATCAATTACTGGCCTATCTAAGCAAATGTGATAGAATAATGGCAGTGGACTAAAGGGCTTTTCTCCAAAAGTGCACAGAATAACCCTGCCTAAACAGGAATTAAAAGATTGCCATAATGTGATAGCACCTGTTTGACAGTCCACTGCAGTGATATTCGCTAAGACCTACAGCATTCTAACGATGCTGTTGCATGACTTTTCAGTATTAAGCAATGGAGTTTAGTGGTAGCCATAAAATTAATCTGCAGACACTTTCTCTTCACACTTTCTCTTCCCTTTTTAAATCTCTTCAGTGTATTTCAAAGGCTCTAGACCAGTGGCTCTCTACCAGGTGCCAGGGCCAAATAGGGCCCCAATAATTCTTAAAATATATGTAGTCACATTAACAAACTTTTTTTATTTGTATTTTTTTTTAAACAAAGTTAAAGGAGACAACAAGGGTGATAACCACTGCTCTAGACTCATAACAGGACATCTCCATAGCAATATGCTCTTAATGATAGTTTATCATGACTGAACAGACTTTCTTTTGAAGGCTTTTGAGTGACACACCTAGGAATGAAATGTTTGGCAACCATCAGCATCTAGTATAAGCTTCATGATAAATGTCACCTTCATGAAATAGTTTCCCTTCCCATCCCAGCTTATTGCAAACTCCAATGAGTATTGGCTGACACTCTGTGACTTTAATTATCCCATGACCTACCACTCTAGGCAATTACCTTTCATCTATAATTCTTCTATTAGACATTCAACCCGACATTTCAAATTTCAAATTTTTGTGCTTATCTCACAGACATTATGGTTCAAAACATATGTACCACAGAGACATCATTAGTTTATTATCACTGTGGAATAAAGGCAATGTGGATACCCATGGTTTTGAAATGGCAAGAGAGGGACCAGTACTTGATAAACAACAGAAATAGATCCTAGCTAATCCATCTAGCAGCTACCTGTGGCTGTGTCAACATGGACTGCAGTTCTCAATGGGGAGCACATGCATTCTATTTTTAAACCCAGAGGGTTGGCTTGTTTTAGGCTTGAACCATTTGCACTGATGTGATTGAAAATGTGTAACTCAAAGTGAAAGAAAGAACGATGAATAAGCAGTTAATAATTAAAGGCATGCGAGTAACAATAGCCATGAAGATCAACTTCCAGCAACACTTTCAAGTGTCAAAAGGCAAAAGTAGTTTATTAAATATTGCATAAGCTATTCATATTATATGCTAGGAGTACATTACTGTGTACATTTTACACTGTTTTTTAATATAACTTGGGTCATTGGTATTTTGACAGTTCGATTTTTAATCCATGACCAGTTAATAACTTTGCTCAATTGTGCTGGCGCAAAATTATTTACTGGAAAAATAAATTAGATTGTCTTATCATTCTTTCATTACAGGGTGACTTAAAGTCCCCATGAAATCAAAATGGAAGTTTTTTTTGGCTTTTAGTATGAATATGTTAGCCTAACGGTACGGTTATCTATGCTCCAAAACAATAATAAAATTTGCATTTGCAAGAAAGGAGCATTCCAAAGGAGCATTCATTTTGTGAGAATATTTCAAAGTGTGCTAAGAAAACTAAGTAGAAAGATGAGAAACGTGTCCTCCTCATTGTCAAAATAGTTACTATTTTAATGCTGTCCTGGTTTATATCTTTAGTCATGAGTCCATGAGTTTTTTTCAGTGTGGTATGTCTTATGATGTTGATATGTTCCCTGTCTTGCATTATACATGTACAATCAGCAAACAGGAAGCATTCATATTCATTTTTCCACACAAGAACAAAAAAAAAGCCTATCTTGCATTATCTTGTCTAAATGCTAGCTATTATTTTGACGGGAAGCTGTGCTACAGAAAGCTGAGCGAACACTTAAAGGAGTAGTTGTAGTTCACTTCCAGAATGAAAATTCTGTCACCATTTACTCACCCTTCACTTGTTCCAAACATGTATGAGCTTCTTTCTTCTATTGAACACAAAAGAAGATGTTTTGAAAAATCTGAACAGTTGATGGGCACCACTGACTTCCACAGTAGGAAAAATAATACATGGAACATTTTTCAAAATATCTTATTTTGTGTTCAACAGAAGAAAGAAACTCATTCAGGTCTGGAACAAGTGGAGGGCGAGTAAATGATGACAGGATTTTCATTCTGGAAGTGAACTACTCCTTTAAGTCAAGAGTCACTGCTATGGAAATGATACACCGTCTAGTCTAGTGGTAGCATTGGTGTAAACTGGCAGGTAACACTACTACACCGGATGCGAATGGCGCAACATGTTGCAGCAAAGCACATAGAACACATTATAATCAGTGATTGTATCACTGAATGTGCTCTACAGTAAACGTGTGTTTAGAGAGGTTAGAGAGGAAATGGGGTCAGGGCAGGACATTTTCAGAGATAAGAGCTTTATGAGATTTTGGAAATGCATCCTTTTCTTCTGATCTACACTGGTTCCCTCACTCCTTCAGTCTCAGCTTTCACCAAGAAACCAAAGACTCAGACGGCTGAGATTGGGGCAACATATTTGAAGCAGAGACTGAGAAGCCTGATGTAAAAGTGAGATGGCAGCGAGACTCCAAGGACATCTCATCCAGTTACAAATACACCATCTCAGCGGAGGGCAATATGCACTCTCTCACCATAAACAATGTAGTTCAGGAGGATGCAGTGGGATATGCTGTTATTGCTGGGGTGTCAAAGGTCAAATTTGAATTAAAGATAAAAGAATCAGAAGGTGGGTGATGTTTGGATGGTGACACACATCTTCCTGTATTTAACTAACTTTTACACCTCCACCTTTGGTTTATTTGTAAACCAGTCACAGAGCACCACAACCAATTCTCCTTTCTGATTCACTTTTTTTCAAGAGGTGCAACTGGTTGTTTTTTTAAAGCACTTTTTCTGAGCATGTTATCACCATTGGTAAGGATTTCTCAGCCTGCTATGGAATTTGGGAAACTCACCAGAACTCTTATAGTTGTTCTTCACTTCAAACACTTTTACCTTTCAGTGTCCATTCGTGGAGCTTGTAATCTCATTAGGCATTGTGCATGGACAAAAGATAAGTGTGGGTTAAATTAAATATTGGATGAATAACTAGCCTAAAGTCTGTGTCTAGGAGGTCAAACTAAAATCTACTGTAGCTGTCTAATTTTAATCTAGATTTCTAATTTCAATCTTTCATCACAAATATGATTTAAATATGATTTAATATGAAGCTATAATCCTCACAATTCACAATTCAAATCAACACAATTATCTTTGTTGAAATAGAAGTACGTCAATGAAAAAGGTCCTGTATAACTTTATAATATTATAATAATAATATTAGTGCTATTTTTTTAGTCATAGCACACTTGTCACAATGTTTCATATCCTCCATTAATGCTGTGCTTTATCTGGACATATTGTAACTAAGAGGAGCTTTAAGTCTCTAACAGCTCTACCAGCGTTGTTTCAGTCAGTGGTTATTAGTCAAGTATTTAGAGCCATTCATCCAGACACAGCGGAAGATGAAAAAGCAAGACTCTGTCCTAATAATGTGTGGCCATTAGAATCCTGAAGAGAGCAATATCAAAGCAATAAAAGGCCCACGAGGACAAAACTTTGCAAGCAAAAGCTTGTTCATTAACAGACAGGTATAGTGTGTTTTGAGGGCAATATGTGTGGAATGTTTTTAGTGTCAGATTTTTCTCCTAACAAAATCAGGCTTTAAGTTTAAAACACTATATTCAAGAGCCTTATGAGCTAAAGAATTAGCATCTTGCTTTGGCCTAGACCTTTTTTATATTTAATTCCTTTTATAGACGCAGAAATGACGAATTATGAATTTGTAATGTGGAAGTAAGGCTTTAGGGACTTACATTCATCAACAGTGACCCAAATGAGTTATTATCACTTGTTTTCATCTGCCTGAAAGCCATTTTAAGGATTTTTTTCATTGTTGCAGTGAAGGAACCACAAAAAGCTGTATCCCCAGATCCTGCAGTTGCAGAGCCTAAGCCTGAAGAACCTAAAGAGACTCCATCAGCACCTACTGAAAGCTCAGCAGCAGACACCAGTGGAACCGCATCAGATGGCATAGCACCTGAAGGTGAATATAAAAACACACAGGCATATTTAAATATGCAAATTAGTTTTATGAAACATTTCAAAAATATAAGATTCACTGGATAACAAACCTATTTTTCTGTTTGTTCTTCTAGGTCTGCCTGAGAGTCATCAGCCTGACACAAGGCAGGACCTTACTGGTCTCTTCACTGAAAGGCCTCAAAGTGGGGAGGTAAATGTAGGTGAGTAACAGGGCCTCTGGTCACTAAGAAATGGATAGTACATATGAAATAAAAATTCTCTTCCAATCTGTTCCCCCATTTAGGTGAGAACATTACTTTTGTTGCTCGGGTGTGTGGTGAATCTCTGCTGAAGAAGCCCACAGTAAAATGGTTCAAAGGAAAGTGGATGGATCTGGCCAGCAAGTCAGGAAAGCACCTTCAACTCAAAGAGCACTATGACCGCAACACGAAGGTCTGGCAATGGTCAATACCAAACAGTTGTGTAATATACTACCTTGATATGTTTAGAAAAGCTTGAAAGTCAAAAATGAGCAAAATGAACCAAACACCTTTTTCTATTCAGGTGTACACCTTCGAGATGCATATCATTGCACCTAAAGCCAACTTCGCTGGAGCTTATCGTTGTGAGGTGTCCTTTAGAGACAAGTTTGACAGCTGCAATTTTGACCTGGCAGTGCATGGTAATAAAAATAACTAAATGCATGTTTGATAAATATCAACAAGGAATGAATTATTTGTTTTAATTGATAATTGTACCAAATTAATTGGTAATGTGTGCATTTCACAGAGGCTCGTACAACAGATGGGTTTGATATTCGCACTGCATTTAGACGCACGTGAGTATTTGTCTTTGTGTTTTTAATAAACTACAAACTATTCATTTCAACACTTGCGTCATAAAATTTTAAAAAGTGACGTGACTCATGCAGACCAGCAGTATCGTGCTATTTCAGCAACATATTAAAGTGCTTACCTGGTTTGTTTGCTTTCTTGAATGTTGTGTGGTGTGTTGGTTTGATGATTTTGTGTGCGTAGATCCTAGTGCTTCTTTATGTGGTTTGTTTGTTATTTCTATTGCATTAACACTTTTTTGGAACTGCTGATTACCCAGGAGCATCAGTGCAGGTGGTAAGAAGAAGATGGGAGAGCCTGGCAGGTAGCTAATGGGGTTTGCTGCAGCAGGGGATATATTCACAGTCATTGTCTTTACCCAACCAAACCCTCTGATTTGCAGTGTTGGGCAGTAACTAGTAACTTAGTTACTGTAATAATATTACTTTTTGCAGTAACTGGTAGTGTAACTAATTACTAATAAGATTTCAGTAATAATATTACAGTTACCATCCATAAAACAGCTTAGTTACTTAGTTACTTTTGATGCCTCAACTGATTTAAAATCCAACAATCAAATAATTCCTAGATTTATTTTCATAATTTTCATGACTCGCACATGCATGTGATGTCCCCAGTGCAGCAGGCAAGCTTGGAATATGGAAAAGCTTACATTCAGCAGATAGAAATATTGCATTATATTTATTTTTTTTCAGGAAAAAATATGATCTGAGCACTGTTGTGTAGGTTGTGGCTTTACTTTACCCTGGCATTACATCCCACCCACATCCCTCTGATCAGCATGTGGTACATATTACTATAATTAAAAATCTTTTTAGAAAATTAAAGTTTTTTCTTGCAAACTTAAAGAAATATAATTGTATATGGGTAACGGAGAAATGACAATTAGCTTCAAGCTACACATGACAATTAATGAGATTAATACAACACTTCTACTTGAATGTCACTACCGATCACTAGAAATGTATGTGGAAGATACACAGTTACAACTTCTGTGGGGCGTGAAGAAAAAGTAATGTAACTACTAGTGTAACTAATTACTGTTGCCAGAAAGTAATAAGTAAAGTAACAATATTACTTTTGAAATGAGTAACTAGTATTGAGTAATATATTACATTCTTTGAGTAACTAGCCCAACACTGCTGATTTGTCATCAAAAGAGTTAATTGTGTCCTTCAGTGTCCATCTGTGTCCCTCTATCAGTCATCGGTTATAGCTTGCCCTTTTCTTTCTGTCCTTTTCAATCTTCTCCCTTTGTCTGCAACATCTAAGGAGAGTGATATTAGTCATTGCTGACGCTTTATGACTCACTCTCCAAGGACCTTTGCAAAGTCTCATTTCCTTTCTGTTGTCTTCCTCCATCTCTTCTCACACTTTTCTCTGTTTCTGTGAGAAGGGCAATTTCCAAACACTCATTACTGGTGTATCAGAGGCAGAGGGCCTTAAAGTGAATATGATTTCCATGTCCACTGATCTTTTCAAGTGCAGACACTGATTAAGAGTGAGCAAATTACAGGATCACACTAATAACGCTGCCACCAGTTTAATCAGAAACCGCATTTGTCCGTGACTGTTTTGAAATACTTTAATTCTGGTTATTTGAAACGTAATAGCAGAAATCTCTTGATGCAGTTCTTAACTTTGGCTGACACCTTGTCAAAATCAGTGGAACCAGCGGCACAAACTTTGAGTGACGTGTCTGTTTTGTTGCTCCTCTTCGTGTCTTTAAGAAGTTCCTTAAAGACAGTTCATCATGGGTCATACATACACATCTTTCAAATACTACTAGCTTTACAGATCAGAGAGAAGGCTCTAGCATCAAGATGATCACTTATTATAATATTGTTGCCTTATAATAGACATATAGCTGCCTAGATCTTTCATATGTACAGTGATGTCATGTGTGATCATAGCGGAAGTCTGCTACGGATTTCTTCTGTACATCAGCATTTCTGTGTCTTTAACTCAACTTTGCCAACAAAGCCTGTTTACAGTATAGTGCAGCTCTGCTCCAGTTTCTATTGCCTCAGTGGAGCTTAATGATATCTGTATAAAGTGCATGTATTGTTTGTGCATCTACACACCAGTCCCATATGTTCTTCTATATATATGTGTCAGTATATACCATTCAAATATTTGGGGTCAATAAGATCCATCTTTTAAACTTTTTTTTAAAAGAAATTAATATTTTTATTCAGCAAGGGTGCATTTATAATATAATAAAAATTAATAAATAATAATACAAATAAATGTTTCTTGAGCACAAAATCAGCATTCTAGAAAGATTTCTGAAGGATTGTGTGACACTTAGGACATGAGTTATAGCTGCTAAAAATTCAGCTTTGACCTTACAGGAATAGATTACATTTTAAAATATATTAAAAATAGAAAACTGTTATTTTAATAATAATATTTAATAATATTACTGTTCTGACTGTAATTTTTTTGATCAAATAAATATAGCCTTGGAGAGCATAACAGACTTATTTCAAAAACATTTAAAAATCTTATCGATCCCAAAACTTTTGAACAGTAGTGTTCATCCATTCCATATGTTTTATAGATAATACTACATCCTGGACATGTGTCATTTGCATCAACATGTTTGATATTCTGTTCTTTTACAAAACAATTTATTAAATACATATCCATTTTTAATAAATTACTGCATTTTATATATGTTATAGAAGCTGTTTTCCCTAAAATGTACATACCTTATAATGAGGTGAGAATGTTTTGTGGCCTGTGATTCGTTTCTCTCGTACAGTAGCACAGATGCAGGTGAAGACTCCGGAGAACTGGACTTCAGTGCTTTACTGAAAAAGAGGTGAGTCTTTAGTTAGAGATCTAATATGTCACATACATTCATTGTCTACTTTAAGTCAAAAGTTGCCTTGAAACAATTTACCTTTAATGACATCAGCATGAGCTAACATGATTTGAGCAAGATCCAAAAAACATCTTGTTCTTCAAAGTAAGCAATAAAACCTGACACTTGTACAAAGGAATTCACATGCTCAGTGTCACAAATGTTTGATTGTGACCTATGAATAGTTGAACTGAAGACTTTAGATGTACTTTGATGCCTTAAAGGGTCTTTGGTTGAATCTAACAAAATCTAAAATATTTCTTATTCATTTTACATCATATGTGTGCTTTAATTTTTCTTTAACATTGTGAAACGTACTGTTTATTATTGAAGCCTAAAATAGATTTTGAATCCAAGATTTTTTTTAAGATTTATAAAGTGTGAGATTTCAAACACTGAATTGTAGGCTTTACTTAGTCATTATTTCTTTATTAAATGATTTTTTCCTTCTAAGGCTTATCTATGTTTATATTTTTTCCCTGTTTTTTCTCCTCTGTGGCTGTTCCACTCCCATATTCAGAGAGTAAGTGTGTCACACTGAACTGACTGGTTGTGTATGAAGGAATGTTGAATGTTGTATTGCCGTGTATGTGTGTGTGTGATGCCTTGATTATTCTCTCTCCTAATCAGCCACTGATTGCTAACTTTAGTCCTTCTAGGTTTTTCCACTCTACAGACTGCACACCCACTTGGAACTAGATAGACAGAGTCACGTTTGAATTATTTTTAGCAAACTCCTTCATCATACTCATATAGTCCTAATTAATCACATAATCCTAGAAGTCTCACGATTCCTACGTCATTTCACATTCCACGCATTCATACCACATTCACTGACTCTGACAGCATAGCAAATTGGTTATGTCAGTAAACACTGTACGTCCACGCAAATAGTTTCTAACCCTTTTAGTTTAATAAACACAAGAGGCACATAAAGATAAAACATTTGAATAAGGAGGAAGTTTCTATGGGCGACAATGTAGACTGCATGCTTTAAGTGCCTTTATAAAAATGTAACTGTAAAATGGTCTTGATGGTTTAACAATGCGTTGCTATGTGATCTGAGAGCTTGATAATGTGCAATAATCTGCTGTGGTTTGTCTTACCATGCTTGACTCTTGGGTTCTGCCTCTACATATGTACAGCAGTTTCTTAAAAACTGGCCCACGGTAAGATTTGTTTAGACATACAGAATAAAAATCTATTTAATAACATTCATTAACATTTATTACTATTTATTTGCCATTGCATTTCTATATTTTAATAAAGAGACTGAACAAATGATGTACCTAACATGCTTAATGCCTGTCATCATTTACTCACCCTTATGTTGTTCCAAACCTGCATGACTTTTTTTCTTCTGCAGAACAAAAACAGTTTTTATCCATATAATCAATGGGGTCCATTGCTGTTTTAGACCCCATTGATGTGTACTGTATGGATGAAACGCATTTTCAAATTATCTTCTTTTTTTGCGGTTCTTTAGAAGAAAAGTAATACAGGTTTGACAACATCAGGCTGAGTAAATAATGACAGAATTCAAATTTTTGGGTGAGCTATCCCTTTAATAATATTTTAAAGAACAATTTTAAAACATTGTGATGATACAAGATGTTTAGACTTAATTTACCTGTCCTGATCAATCTCTATCCACTGTTGTGGGTCTGCAGAGCTGTTCATGTGAGCACAGAGCCTGAGGTAGACGTATGGGAAATCCTCCAGAAGTCTTCACCATCAGAGTATGAAAAGATCGCCTTCCAGTATGGAATCACGGACCTGCGGGGGATGCTTAAGAGACTCAAAAAAATGAAAAAAGAAGAGAAGAAAAGTGCAGGTTTGTAACCTTGTTGAACTTAGTTAACTGTACAGGCCACTCAAGTGGCATATACAGTGGGTACGGAAAGTATTCAGACCCCCTTCAATTTTTCACTCTTTGCTATATTGCAGCCATTTGCTAAAATCATTTAAGTAAATTTTTTTTCCTCATTAATGTACACACAGCACCCCATATTGACAGAAAAACACAGAATCGTTGACATTTTTGCAGATTTATTAAAAAAGAAAAACTGAAATATCACATGGTCCTAAGTATTCAGACCCTTTGCTCAGTATTTAGTAGAAGCACCCTTTTGATCTAATACAGCCATGAGTCTTTTTGGGAAAGATGCAACAAGTTTTTCACACCTGGATTTGGGGATCCTCTGCCATTCCTCCTTGCAGATCCTCTCCAGTTCTGTCAGGTTGGATGGTAAACGTTGGTGGACAGCCATTTTTAGGTCTCTCCAGAGATGCTCAATTGGGTTTAAGTCAGGGCTCTGGCTGGGCCATTCAAGAACAGTCACAGAGTTGTTGTGAAGCCACTCCTTCGTTATTTTAGCTGTGTGCTTAGGGTCAAATATATGAGTGTCACAGCAAAGGGTCTGAATACTTAGGACCATGTGATATTTCAGTTTTTCTTTTTTAATAAATCTGCAAAAATTTCAACAATTCTGTGTTTTTCTGTCAATATGGGGTGCTGTGTGTACATTAATGAGGAAAAAAAATTAACTTAAATGATTTTAGCAAATGGCTGCAATATAACAAAGAGTGAAAAATTGAAGGGGGTCTGAATACTTTCCGTACCCACTGTATACAGTGCCTTTTTTCACGTTTTGTTATGCTGCTGCCTTATGCTACTTTTTCCACATCAATCTAATCTCCATCCACTATAATGACAAGGCAAAAAACTGATTTGTGACAACTTAGCAAATTTATAAAAAAACACACAAAAAAGCCCAGAAATAATTACATTGCATAAGTATTCATACCCTTTTCTGGGACACTTGAAATTTAGCTCAGGAGCATTCCAATATCGCTTGTAGATATTACTACACTTCGAGTGGAGTTAACCTTTGGCAAATTAAATGAAATGGGTATGATTTGGAAAGGCACACACCCCTCAACAAAAGGTGCAAAACTGCTTAAAATGCATATCAGCGCAAAAATCAAGCCCTGAGGTCAAAAGAACTGCCTGTAGAGCGGAGAGACAGGAATGAATGTTCACAGAAGCATGCAGTCTCCATTATCCTTAATGGAGGAAGTTTGGAACAACCAGGACTCTTACTAGAGCTGGCCTTCTGGCCAAACTGAGCAATCGATGGAGATTCTTGGTTGTGACCAAGAAGCTGATGGTCACTCTTGAGCTCCATGATCATATATGCAGTTGGGAGAAACATCACTGAGAATCACTGAGAAACAACACTCCACCGATCTGGGCTTTATGGCGGTGTGGCCAGACTCAATCCTCAATCAAGACGTGGGGCTGTCAAGGTGCTTCAACTAAGTACTGAGTTAAGGGTATGAATAGTACTTATCAGTTTTTCCTTCTTAATAAATTTGCTAAGTTGTCACAAATCTGATTTTTGCTTTGTAATTATAGTGTATGGAGTGTAGATTGATGTGAAAAAACTAATTTAAAGCAGTTTAACATAAGGCAGCAACATAACAAAATGTTAAAAAAAGAATACTTTTGCAAGGCACTGTAAGTCATTTACTAATTTGACTGTTAGCGATAGGTCAAGTTGCAATGGTAATGGTGAGATATATTAAGTGGATATGAACAGACTATAAATTCCTACTGTCAGTAGTTTTCTTGCTTCAAATTTTTGTTGCTGGTCAATAGAAAACCTCAAACTTCTTTTTAAGCATGCTCATGTGCTGCACATTTCTTTCTAATAGTGGTGAAGTTTCATCTTTATTTTAACCACAGCATTTCTGAGGAAGCTGGACCCAGCCTACCAAGTCGAAAAGGGGCGCAAGATCAAACTGCAAATTGAAGTGGACAATCCAGATGCAGAGGTTAAATGGCTAAAAAATGGACAAGAGATACACCTAACTGGAAGGTATTTACTTTGATCCTTTCACTGTAATGTAAAGAGAAAAAAAATTGAGTCACGTGGGTTATGCATTCTCTTAAAGTAGTAAAAGTACATGGAAAGGATTACAATTAACTGTCTATTTCTTTGACTTCTGACAACACTGTGTGCTTATGGATGGATGGACTGCTCTACCTGCTCTCCACTGTCAACTCTAGCAAGTGAGTGGAACTCAACAGTATGCTTATGACAAGATGTAGCCTAAACACAATCAGCAACTTCAAGGCTTGTCTCTGTGGGGTTAGATGTTTCAAACAGTCTGTTGACTATACACAGGGACAGTTTTCTGAGAATATATAGCTCTGTAGACACAGATGCCAGCTGTGCCAACAGATGGAGGCTGTCAGATGTTTAAGGACTCAAATAACAATAGAACAAAAACTATCCTCAATGGCTAAAATAATATCTTTCAGTGACCTTAGTTAAATAAAACCTTTTGTAAAAATACATCTTGTGAACTGAAGAATCTTAAAACGAGTCTTGTCGTATGTCTACAATTGTCTATTATTTGTTTGCCACAATACTTTTGACATTGTCGTCATATCAAGGTTTTTGGTGTTAAACAAGTGTTTTGTTCATTTTCTCATATCTATTGTTTATGTGTTTGGAAGAGCCTCTCCAACATTGATACTTTGTCCCCATCTAGAGAACAACGCTGGAACTGCTACTAAATAATTTCTCATCTTCCTACAGGTACATCTTTGAGAGTGTAGGCAACAAACGCTTCCTCACTATCAACAACTGTACTCTGGCAGATGATGCTGCTTATACGTGCATGATTGGAGAAGAGAAGACTGTCACTGAGCTCTTTGTTAAAGGTATTTAACTTGCACAGACAGAGATCTCTGAGAAAAGACAACATTTTACAGACAAGTAAATATTTTATATTATCTTATATTACGTTAAGCATTTTTTATTTATATTAGTTGTATGTAATTTTAAAAAAATCTCTCTCTGCCTTCAGAGCCTCCTGTTCTGATTGTACGTAATCTGGAGGATCAGATGGTTATGAAGGGAGAACGAGTAGAGTTTGAGTGTGAAGTGTCTGAAGAGGGGGCTCAGGTGAAATGGTAGGTCTGTCAACATGCACACACTCGCTTTTCCCTTCCATTAGTAGTAATACATTTTCCAAGACATATTTTAAAAACGGAGTGTCTATGTACTGTAAGTGCAAATAGCCCGCCTTGTTGGCCGAGGCTGTAAAGACACGCTAAATA